CGGGATTTATATTTAAAAAAAACTTATTTGTGCCAAATTTAATCGTGATACTAGTGTCTATAAGTGAATTGTGGACATTCAAGATATTTTCTGAAAGGGACTTTGTATGGCGGCTAGGGTCAAATAATGCCCGATCTTTATGAAAATGATCAGAATTATTAAGACTTACATAAAACTATGTTTTGCCAATTTTTTAACATAATTATAAGGACAAAAACCCTATTGGGGGGTCCGGTTGCATGGGGCCTAGGTGAAATAATGGACCGATTTCAACTATTTTCAATAGCGTTCGTCCTGGGACCAAAAGAAGCGCACATTTCAAACTTCATCAAATTATATCAAATCTGTAGAATGCGCACAAGGTTTACATGGACACACAGGCAGACAGACGGACGGACGGACATATCTTAATCGACTCAGTGACTCTTAGTCGATTGGCATACTTTGAGGTGGGTATAGGACCAATATTTTTTGTGTGTTACCAACAGCAGTACAAACGCATAATAGCCTCCCCACTATAGTGGTGTAGGGTATAAACATGGAAATAAATGATAATGTGATGCAATCCTCCTCGCTATAAAAACAAAAGCAACCTACAAAACTAAAATTAAAAAAAAATACAATGAATGACTGTGTATGAATGAACGTATGTAGATAGTTTTTTTATAATATATAAGTGGGCTAACTGAGAAGTAATTGAAAATGGGAAATGTTGGATGTATAACAATGCTTACAGTTATTAAACAAGGATTTATAAGTTTCAAAATAAACCTGCAATTTTTAATACATATTTAAATTTTCAAACCTTATTGTGTTTTTATAACTAGAGAACTAGATTTTCACACTCATCGACATTTAGTACGGAAGCCATTACTTCCTTTTTTTATATGAATTTTGCGATTAACCCACGTTTATAGTTAAATGCACGCAACGACATTAAATGAACAAGTACCTCTTCATATCAGTTGCTACATTGACCAATTGCTAAAAATAGTAACAACTCCGACGCAAACACACAACGATCCATGTGATTTTATGTAAATCGTGATAAGTGATCGACAAAAAAAAGAACGTGTGGGAAATTTAAATGTTTCAAATTGAACTCAATAACAAAAAAAAAAACCTCAACTTGGGGCAGCCATTGACAACTCATGTTTGTTGTTCAGACAAAGACAAAGTATTGGCCAATTTTTAAGTATAAACGATTAATTCAAAACAACAACAACAACACCAAAACAGCCAAGTAGAGTAATTGACCAAAAAAAGTAACAACAACAATTAAACATAAAAACTAAAAAATACACAAACAAAAGTGAAAGTGTCAAATTAATTTTGAACTTGACTTATAATTTGTCTTGACAAGTAGCTGTCAATAAACGTCAATCTTAAATAAAAACAAAAATTACACAAAAAAATAAACATAAACAAACATAATTTATATAGTCATCAATTAAGCACTTAATATTTTATAACATTATTATTTATTAAGTGTTGTGAACTTAATTCCCCGTATAATCAACGGAGCATGATTGAAGTCATCGTCATTTGTATGCTACTCCCCAAATATTCGTCATCAAGACTTAATGGCGCCATTCGATCATTATTGATCTGCAGCACGACTGATCATAATTTTAAAGGTGGGCTGAACTTACATGCATACCTACATACATACATATGTATGTATGTATATAAACTGTGGAAAGAGAAAAATATGTATAAGATCATTGTTTACTTTTTTTATTATCTTCGAATACTAATGATTGAGAAGCCGTGTTTATGTTTGAATTTGTATTTTATATTTAATTATCATCTTTCTTCATTCTCTCTCTCTTTTTCTATCTATCGTTATGTTAGTTTAGTTTAGTTAACCTTGACCCAATTATGAATTCATAATAGTAAATCTTCTTTTCATATTTGTAGTATTTCCAATTGTTGTCAATTTCAGAGTTTCAGACAAAAATTTCCATAAAAGGCACATTTTTATTTAAGTAACTAACTAGTCAATGCCTTTTATTGAGGTCTATGAACCAATTGAGTGGGTTCTTTATATCTCTTTTAAGTTTTTCAAATATTATTTATATATAGAGTACTCGATATTTTTAAGGAAATTTGACCCATTCACTGTTTATCTTAAGTAGTTTTGCATAAAACAGTTTTTCAAACGGGAGTGGGTTAAGTTTCTCAAGCTGTTTACATCTTTTTCGGTCGCAACTTTAATTTTAAATTACTTTAACACATAGAATCCTTCGAGTGATTCGTCCAAAGCCAAATCGCAGGGAAATGTTGACTAATTGACATCAGCGAACTGTTTGAATGCTGAATTACTATTATAAATCCTTAAGCTTTAGGTTTCCGGGAACATTTTTGTATTTCAGTTTTACAGTTTCAATATTCAAAATTTGCCAAGTCTGCAGAACAAGGAATCGTGAGGGAATCGTCTTGTACATTTTCATAACCGCAATCGCAGTTTTAGAGCGGTTTGAAGTTCCTTTGAAGTACAAGTTTTGACTGAACTTCTATAAAAGAGAGCACTATCACAGAGTTTAACATTTGAATATTCTGATCGATATACATTATAAATTGATAAGGTTATTTAGGTTAGGTAGAAGGGGATGATCTTAATATTATGAAAATATACACCTAGACCGATCCCGCTCCGGATGTATGCTCCTTTGTATTGAATTAGTTTTTGATAAGTTAAACTCTCTTATAGTGCAACTACCGAACGTTCGATGATTTAAATGCCCAGTTTCCGGAAGGTGATTTTTAAAATTTGTAAATAAATGTTCTTTAGGGAAGTTTTGTGCTTCGAAATTCTTACCACGTGCTCCGAATTGGCCACATTCCACTCGTCGAAATTGGTGAAGTTGTGCTGGTAGTCTTGTATATACTGCCTGGATAATTACCACCAATGTCCGAGGTGAGACTTGTTCCCACTGCCGAACTTCTTTTTATCCTTTTTTTTGGATTACCTTAAGAGATATTATCGTTCTATCCATCATTCCATGTGAGTGAGTACAATCCCCTAATAACATGTCAATTAGCTCTTTCGTTACCAATAATGCCCGTGTTACATTTTCTAGCCCCATATTTTATCTATATCGTTTATATACACATTCAATAATAACACGGACCTACACCTAGAAGCTAGTGTTGTGATCTGGAATATGATATATTTCGTTTTCAAGGTATACAATTTCTATCTTAAAGCTTAGAGCCGTCTGTGTATCAGCAAATCCTAAGGAATATTTGTTCTAATGTTCTATTTGACCATAACAGTCTATCTGGGATCAATGTCTAACAATTTCTTCACCTTTAATGTTCCTAGTATTCGATCTGGTACTCACGACCCCATCCTATAATTAAATTTCATATTGACATTGGACTAATCATAATTTTACAAAGCCAATATGTCATAATGGGACCTAGGCCCATTTCGTGCCAATGGTTCTGCTACATAGCGTCCAGTAGCGGCGTGTCTTGTTATTTGTTACAGAAGTGCTTAATTCTTTCGGTCTTGCTTAGGAAACTGGATTCAATTAACTCAAAAAGTTTTCGTCTTTCTTGTAAAAACGAAAATCTTCAACGGGTAAACATTCAATCCTCCCGCTTAAGCCTTTTTATACTTGATGGATCAGTACTTCAATAAGGTTAACTTCGTTTTAAAAAGCATTCTGTCGTCACTGATCTATATTGATGTGATAACCTTCGTGGTATCCTGTTTAGATGTATTTAAAACTATCAACTCTTTTTTAGAAACGAAAATATTTTCGTGCGATAAAACATGCAAACTTCAACTATCTGAGGTTCCACTAGAAGGTCGTACAAACTATAACAGGATTCCAATGGTCGACAAATGAAAACTTCAAAGGAAAACAAATTACAATCTGAAAGCTCAGCGCCTTCAATTTTTAGGGAATTCAATGAAGTAATGGAACAAATTGTTCAAATTTGTATTTTTTGACGAAATTCTCATTGTCGATGGATCAGGTGAATACATTTGTTATATCCAAAATTTGATAAGCAGATGAAATATTCATTCATCGTAAGTAGGGAATGCGAAGTTATGGTACTCTCGAAAAACGATTGTTGCATCGTACAAAAGAATATTAAAAGTCACGTTCTCACAACTCAAAAACTTATTTGGATCTATACCATGGACCTACCAACACGACAATGCTCAGACTGTCAGAGTTGTAAAACTGAGATTTTGTTAACAAGCTTTTAAATTATCCTCCATATAGTACGGGTCTTTATATAATACAAAATGTTTAGAAGAGTCGTGTTATAAACCAGACATGCGGGGTAATGATTACACAAAGTAATTCACTATATGGTCAATTACAATTACTTGTAATGTGTAATTGAGAAATAAACAATTACAACAATTACAATTATTTGTAATTGTAATTGAAGTTTTTCCAATTACAATTACTTGTAATGTGTAATTGACCAATAACAAATTACAATTAATTGTAATTGTAATTAAAGTTTTGCCAATTACAATTACTTGTAATTGCAATTGAAGTTTCCAATTAAAATTACTTGTAATTGTAATTTATGTATTACTAATTACAAAATTACATGTAATTATAAGGAACAAAATTTACAATTACAAGTAATTGTAACTGGAAATTCTTCAATAACAATTAGAAATAATTGTAATTGGTAAAACTTCAATTAAAATTACAAGTAATTGTAATTGGCGAAACTACAATTACAATTACAAATAATTGTAATTGGATAAACTTCAATTACAATTACAAGTAATTGTAATTGGTGAATCTTCAATTACAATTACTTCAAATGTAATTGTAATTGAAAATGTAGTCATTATCCCCCATGCCTGTTATAAACATATACAGAGGATTAGAAATGTCGGGAGCTCAAAATCACTAGGTTATATTGGATCTCTCTACGTCACTATTATATTTTCAACTGTGTCAATGAAATTAATTTAAGTCTCACAACATATTTTATTTATTTTTTATCACATTTTATTTACACTTAACATTCCTTAAATGATTAAACTTCAAATTAATGCTAATATTTCATTATCTACATTAATATAAATATTTATTTTTAATCTCTTATATTTACAAATACAAAGGTGGGTGGGTCTTAAATTAATCCTGAATAAGAGTTTTACGTTTATGAACAAAATTATTTAAACAGAAACCAATTAATTAACAATTATTAAGAAAACAAACACACGTTTCACAAAAAAACATAATTGCAATTTTAAACAAATACAAAAACAGCTAAACATATATTAAAAAAAATAATAATAATAATAACAATAATTTAACTAAGTTAGTGCTAATAATTAATCTAATTAAATTAATGCAAATTGTACATATTTAAACAAGTTGTATTTCATTTCTCGAAATAAACACAATTTGTTTTAGATAATTCTAACGTCAATTAGAAAGTATTATTGTATAACTCTCTCCCTCTCTCTCTCTCTTTACGTTACTTTATCGATCACAGAGTGAATCCAATCTAAGTATTCGGCCACATTTGTATAGACAGCCGGATGTCCGGCCATGCCACACTGAGTGAAACCATAACTTACAATGCCGTAGGTAACCCATCTAGAATGTTTACGATCGAAAAACATTAGGGGACCACCACTGTCACCAGCACAAGTGTCTTTAGCATATTCACCACCAGCACACAATTGCTTCGGACCCAATTGTACACCAAACAATTCCAATACCTTGGTGCAATTTTCTTTCGCCACCAAAGGTATGCGAAGCTTAAGTTTTATGGGACTGTGTATATTAATGAAATATTTATTAACTATAATGAAAAAAATTAAGTATTAAGTTGATATTTTAATTATTATTCGATTTTAATCTAACTTACACAAATCGGTTCTACCCCAACCAGATACCGAAAACATTTGTCCCTCCTCAAATGTTATATCTTCGGTTTTATTTGGCAAACATATGGGCATAACAAAATGTGTAAAAGAGACGGGATGTTTTAGACGTATCACCGCTATATCATTGAATTTATTAAAAGAATACTCTTTATAGTCGGGATGTACATAGATCTTTTCCACGCCTATATCCAAAGCCGCATCAGCACAACTCAAATAGTTGGGTTCTTCAATGCAATCCGGTTCAGTTTTTACATTAAATTCTCCCAAGCGCACATGTTTTCTATATATTTATTTGTTCGTAGGAGAATTTTGTTTTTGTTTTTGATATCAAAAGAATTGTAAATTTAGAGTAAATTTCGAAATTATTTAAAATACTATACCGCTTACAATCCCTTTTTCTCACGATAACCTTCGCCTTGTACACAATGGGCTGCGGTCAATATGTGTCGGTCATCGATTAAGGCGCCACTGCAACCGTAATCATCTGAAAAGGGTAGAGTTAAAGTAACTAATAAAAAAATGTTCAAATATTTATCTTAATTAGCGAATAGTCCTCATGATAAAATGTTTAAAATCAAAATATATAAAATATTAACTAATAGTCCTTTTTATATTCGGTGTATAACTTAAGCATTAGTGATCCATGTCAGATGTATGTATCTTTGAGTTTTTCATAAATTATATGTGTTCTTTGATTTAATAAAGTGTATCTCAACGTGCGTGAGATGAACCACTTATCTAAAAGAAGGGAATTTATATACCACAATATTGAAGTCGAAGCAGTTTTCAATCGGTTTATTTTGGTGGAACCATAATAGTCCAATTTATGCTGAAATGTATCTAAATGATCTATATGAAGCTAGTTTTGACGGGAAATTGGCAAATATGAGTCCAGATATGAAGCCCTAAAAACAGTTTAATATTAGGCATGGGTCCAGTCGGAGGCCATTTGGCTCATCATAAGACATCGTGAGTAAATGTATTCCTCTCTAATTTAGGTGGCCTTTTTATCATTTTGTCCCCTGAAATAACTATCGCACTACTAACTACTATGACAAATTCTTGAGACAGTTCATATTGAAATCGAGAGAAACAAGAATGTGTGAAACTATGAAACGAAGTATTTTTTTCCATAGATTTTTTGGTGGGTCCATTATGGTCCCATTTATAGTTAAAATTGTCCAGATGATCTATTTAAAGCTAGCATTGAAAATAGCAAATATTAGACCTAATATGAAGCCGTAAGACCAGTTTAAGATTAGGTATTGATCCAGTCGGAGGCCATTTGGTCCTTCGTAAGACCCTTTAAATGGTATTCATACCTAATGGTCTTTTTATTAATTTGATCCCTGAAATAAAAGAAATTCTTGAGATCTTGAAGAGACTTTTATAAAATATCTTAATCTGCGCTTTTGTAGAGCAGGGCACTTAATAAAAGGTGTTGTACCGATTCTTCTTCCTCATAGTGTAAGCAACTGCTATAATAACTAATACTTTACTAGCCTATATACAGCGCTCAATAAGTTTTCCTAAAAGAAGACTTATAGAAGTTCTATTGAGTGCCAAGAGAACCAATGACCTTTGGCCTTTGATGTCAGAATTAGGAAGATATGAATATACTTTTGCGAAAAATTTCGTTCAAGGACTCGTAGGCAATTTAATTTTCCCTGGAACCTAAACCTATTCGACAGAGTGAGAATATCTAGTTCGAAGCGAGGGCTTTGAGAGATGTAGGACTGTTCTCTAATGATTCCACAGTTGGGCAATCTTAGAAGACCATGAAACCAAGCTCATCGGAAAGAACTCATATCAGTTTTTGAACCATCAGTGTATTCTGAGATCGAGTTGTCTTGAAAGACAGTGTTTGCATCTCAGTCTTCTATTTTGGGTATTCTGCTTCTGAAAGTCTTATTAAAGCTTATCGTAAGTAGTATCTAGTAAGCCTGTCGCATTAGATCCGGTTTACTTAAATTATTTTGGATGGGATCATGAACAATGCAATTATATTTCAGTGCATCAAAAAGATGACTTAACAGACGTATATTTAATAGAGTTTCCAAGAGGCCTGGCTAGCTAGCTAGCGTTTGTTCATTACACAAAATGGATTTGGTTTCTGTCGCCTTTCGCAGATTACCTCAACTCCAAAACAGTACCATCCATTCCACTATTTAAATCAGTTTTAATTTTTGGAATCCAATCACTGTTTATCTATGCAATCCTGATAAATGGAAACATTCTAATTGGCCAAGATCACAGCTGATCAAAATATTTCGGAATTCTCTCTTGTTGCCTGCGATATTGTACCAATACAAATATAGTGGTTGAAACAAAATATGCAATATGATAATCATATTTCAAAATTTGATACCAGTTTGATCACATAGTCAATCCATCTATTTTAGCACTATTCTAGATCACTTAGTTGAAGATCTATCGCATTGTTTTCAAATTCTTTTCGCTGATTGATTTGGTATATTTGTAATAAAAAACACAATTGTTCGCAAACAACATTTTGAAAATGATTATAGAATTTAGTAGAGATCTTTTTCACTCTCCACAACTTACTAGTATTATACACCAACAACGCCAACCAGGGAAATTCATCGAGTTCTGCTATTTCACCACCATAAATACGATGAGTCACCTGCTTGCCACACTCGTTCAACAAATTGAAACCCTCAATAGGTTCGACCGTTTGTATGCGACGCTTTAATTTTTTCTTTTTAAAACGTGCTGTGGCGTCTTGAAAACGTCTATATTCGAATTTAGTAAATTCGATACTGGGAAAACGATAATCTTGACCATTAGCCGTACAACAAACTAATGGTTCCAAACTGCGGGCGCGCTCGTCATACGAAACATTCGAAACACATTGAACTTTTTTCAAAAAGTTCACTTTTTCCGCGGGTAAATTTGTCGAATTACGAACTTGTAAATAAGCCGAACATTGACTTACTTCCAGGCAAACGCCCAGTTTATCTTCATTTGGTATTTCGCAAGGTATGCGCACTCGTTCACTTTGTAACGCGACCGAAACATCTTCTTCTTCATCGTAATCGGCTAGATGATTATAGGCAACTTTATTCAGACAATGACATTTGTTAACTAAATTAATTATGATAAGCGTTATGGCTAAATAGCTGCGAGGTAACATGACTCGAGTTAATAAATAAACGTTTTTTTTATTTATTATTTTATATTTTTTTCTTTTCTTTTAGCAACGCTTTTTAATAATATTCATTGAATTGAACTCACAACAGAAAACACTTGTATTTATTTTTAAATTTATTTGTCTGTTCTTTTTATTTTTTTGTTTTATTATTTAATTCCGCGGCAAATCAAAACAATTGAATTAAAAATCGGCTCAGAGACACAATTTACCGTCGAAACAACATGCCGCTTCAACGTACTACTCAACTATGACGCTCAGTAGTTTAAACGAAATCAAGAGTCAACTAACAACAGCTGTTAATCCTACGCGCACTTTTTTCTTTTGGCCAAAAATTATTTAAAATTATAAAACAAACAAATCAAATAAAAATCCAAACCACGCTAAACATACTTGTACACACACTTAAGCAAACACTCTCAATTTCAATTTCCCCAAAAAAAGAAGTAGAAATACTGTCAAACACATTTTTTTAAACAAAAACAAACGATCAGTCATTAATAGAAAAAAAAAAAAAACGTTCAAGATCACCTTGCGATCTTTAAGCACAAACAGAAATACTAATAACCAGACACGAATGAGAGACCAAAACAAACGATAAAAAACTAATACCAAAAAAGAGCAACAATTACAATTGCTGACACCTTTTTACGTTTTTATGCCCACCATCAAAAAAGATGGGGGGTATATTGATTTTGTCATTCCGTTTGTAACACATCGAAATATTGGTCATAGACCCACAAAAGTATATATATTCTGGGTCCTCATTAAATTCTAAGACGATCTAGCCATGTCTGTCCGTCTGTCCGTCCGTCCGTCTGTCTGTCTGTCTGTCTGTCTGTCTGTCTGTCTGTCTGTTGAAAGCACGATAGAGTCCGAATGGAAAGAGCTAGAGGGTTGAAATTTCACATAAATATTTCTTATAGGTAAGGTTTGTTTGGTATTGAAAATGGGCAATATCGGTCCACGTTTTCGGATAGCCCCCATACAAGTGGCCCTCGAAAAGCAGCTTTAACAGCCATAACTTGTTTAAAAATACGAATATAGCGATGAAATTCGACATAAGTAAGTTTCTTGTGATCCACAATCACTGTGCAAAATTTTATGAGGATCGGTCCATAATTGACCCTACCCCACATATAAGGTCCCCTTCAGAAAATGACTTAACGCTCATTACTGGCTTAAAAATTCTAGTATATAGATGAAATTCGTCATAAGTAAGTTTCATACGAGTCAAAATCTATCTAAAAAATTTTGTGTTGATCGGTCCATGATTGACCCTACCCCCCATATAAGGTCCCCTTCAGAAAATTCCTTTAACGCTTATAACTGGCCTAATAATACGAATATATAGATGAAATTCGACATAAGTAAGTTTCATTCGAGTCAAACGAGGTTTGATGGTGGGTATATAAGATTCGGCATAGCCGAATATAACACTCTTACTTGTTTTTGTTTGTTTTGATTTTTTTCCTTGTTTCTCTTTTCATGTTTCATGTTCAGGTGTTAAAAATGCAATCACGGAAAGATATGCAACAAATGTAATAACAAGTTTTAACGACATCGATAATGTTCATAATTGTTGACTTTGCACACTAACTACTTACTTACCGGTCGGTCATTTACACTTCGTTGCATACGAACTGGTAAATTATGCAATAGGCGACAACTAATTGAGAGTACTGGTTCCATTGGTTCCGATGTGCGTACAAAACAAGTGTACATTACGTACTAAGGTATATATGTTTGTGTGTGATTCATGGTTAAAGAAACGGAATCAAAACAAAAATTGAAAAAATGTTTCAGTTTCACTTTCATTTAAAATACAATTTGAGAGTTATGGCAAATATTAAAGCATATTTCTAGGATCACTATAAAAATTCGTTATTCTGCTAACAGCGTGTGAGGAACGTTTTTGAACACCACTATATTGGGAGAACAAACGCATAATATTGTTCTGATGTTTGTAACACCCAAAAATTTTGGTCCTACACACATCTAAAATATACCAATCGGTTCAGAATCACTTTCAGAGTCGATTAAGCTAAGTCCGTCTATCCTTCTGTCTGCCTATATAAACTTTGTGCGTACGCTACGGGTCGCAATTTTCAATTTGATGAAATTTGTCATATGATTCAAGGACTGATATCTTTGCCGAATTTAAGTGAGGCTTGTTGCTGAAACATCTTAGAGATACAGGGATTCTTCCGTCTCTTACCGCTAGTTCATCAATTTGAGACTAAATTATTTAATTTGAAATCTTAATATCGCCCCGTCTAAAAACCTTCCCGTTTTCTCTGATCCAACAATTCTGCATGTGAGCGGAATCAAGGAAGAAACATATTTTAGTAGTAAATTTCACCCAAGTCGTCTGTGGAACAAGGGATTCAATCTTCTAGGTTTCATTGTTCACTGTCATAGATGTGGCGTAAATATTCATTAGGAAAGCGGCACAGGGGTTTGATAATGATTAAATTTTCAGTCAATTTCGTCCAGATTCTGCAATATGAAAATCGTTTTGCGATCGGATTATTTGAATTTGAAAATAACCTAATTTTACCAGTATAGGGCAATTTGCAAAACACCAAGGAACCAATTTGATCAGAAAACTTACTAGCCATTCCATTCTGTAGAAACTTCAGTGTTTCAGAAGATAACTCCAATATCATGTTGTTTGGATAGTTCAAATTTCAGCCTGAAACTAGCCAATCAGAGCGAGATGAAAGAGGACAAGTTTTACAGTGAAAATTCAGGGCAAGTGCCGTTGTTGTTCCGTCTGTCGGAGAGAAAGTTTTGAAAGCCAGTCATCCATTCTAAATCATTATTCTGCACTTATGTCTGTTTATCACTAAGGCATGGAAATAAGGTCAGTAATGACTGGACATTGTAGTCTTCGTAGCTGGGTGGCCCAGGTTTTCTACTAGAAATCGTATGTATATGTAAGGATATTTATAACTAAATCTAACCTAATTCCTTTCCTTCGTCTCACGAATGGCTTGGAAAGAGTTTTAGAGTTTGGATCGATCCTCGGTCTATCGGTTATATCCAGAATAATATAACTTTCAAAATATATGGATTTAATTTCGGTGAAAACCAGACAATGACAGAGAAAGTTTCACTGTCTTCTCTACATGCTCTACACAATTTTCTTAAATTACTCTATCTTCACTTTTCTTAGAAATGGACTTGGTGAAATATTAATCTCTCAAAATATTTGAAATTAGCTGAATCGTTTAAAAAATTTAATTCTCTGGAATATTTGTAATGCTTTTACTTTAACCATTTCTCAAAGTTGTTCCAGTGTAAAGTGAGTTATTTTAGTCCACGGAGACATGATATTGATTGGTAGTGAAAATATCTATATATAGCTCCTACGATTTAAAAATAAAATATTTGTTAGACCACACTGTTTAAAGTCTTAAACATGACTGAAGTAATGATGTTTCTATCGGTAATTTTTAAACTGTACAGTTCGGCATCCGAAAGTCAATGCATCCGAAAATTTTAGTCATTTGCATTAACGTTTAACCTGGTTGGCTCTAGTTGTCTTTCGCCACGAATGTACTCTTTTTAAACGAGGGTGAAAACAGTCGTTACTTTTGTAAGCGAGAGCGAAGATAATCTTACTTTGCCATCCCCAAGTAATCAAGATAGTAGACACTTTAAACAACTTAAGGGGAGAGGTTCATTTTCATGCATTGACTCCTTTAGACTAGCTTTCAGACTGTTTCTTTGTAATCTATGGAGTGGCTAATGACTACCTCATAGGTTAGTAGGGAGACTTTGGGAAACTCTAAATGATAGATTATATAGCTAGTTCGGGACTGTCATCAAAAGGGTAATCCTACCGTGACGACGCAAGATAAATGTCTTAAATTTTGCGCTAATTCCTTATAAAACAACAAAATTTAAATCTATAATTACTTTTGTTTTAATTTATTAAAATAGTACTTATTCGCTTACAAACTAAATGAGTGTGAGAATACAAAAATAAAACAAAAATCATGTTCTGTATGAAAAACAAATACAAATGCATTAAATTTCACTATTTGTTAGGAAACTAAAAATTAGTTAAATTACACTTAATTTGTACTCAATCACTAAAGTTAAATACGCAGTTTCTTATTAATCCACTGAGTATAGCTACTGACACGGGCATATACACCGGGCCAATCCTTGTAACCGCAACGACGACCGAACGATACCACACCCTCCAAAACCCAAACACCGTTGCGATAGTGCATTAGTGGGGCACCGGAGGTCGCCACGACAACTATCCTTATTCGCTGCCCCACCAGCACACATGTGTGTAGATTCTATTGTTAAGCCAATTTACCGTACTGTTGTTTACAGAACTTCTGATCCATTAGGGCAACATTTACCTTTTGCTTAATGGGACTGCTGGAATCGAATTCTGTTGAACCCCAACCGGCCACAGTAAGTTTGGTATCTGATTTAAGATTGTAGGGTGCTAGAACAGAAGGTAAACAAATGGGTCTAACGGTTTTCGAATAACGAACATTATTCTCAAGCCGTAAAAGAGCAACATCATGTACGGGAGTTTTTTGTGCTTTATAGTTTTCATGAATAATTGTCTCTACAACGCGCCAACGTTGATCATCTCCGGGAAATATGGAACTTTGGGTGTAGTCTCTTAAGCCTAAACGAACAGCCACGCTGTAAAATGAGAATCAATTTAATTAAGTTTTGTACATTTTTGGATTAGAAAAAGAAAAACCTACAGTTCTCCTTTTTGTCTTAGAATGGGACCCTTGACACAATGGGCAGCTGTCAAAATATAACGGGAGTTAATCAAAGAACCAGCACATACCGCTTCCTGAGTGGGATCTAATATAAAAGAAAAATTTTTATATGTTCGGGATTTTAAGAAATTATTTATCAATTATAAGATCTAAACTTACCAGACTTTGAATACTCCAAAAATGCCATCCAGGGGAATTCATATAATTCCGTATCCCTACCACCATATATACGATTGTCTATAAACTCTCCACCACAGGTGGGAGGTTCTGGCAATAACGAGGGTTTGGCTTTAGTTAAAACTCTTGGTACATCAGGAAATATGGTGGTTGTGAGGAAATTTCCTCTGAAAATTTGTCTCAACCAAGATCTTTCTTCTAAACTCAATTCAGGCTGTTCTCTTGCCACTGCCACCGCTACTTCTTGTTTTCTGGGCTCTCTGGTGAATCCCGTATCACTAGAACAACAAAC